CCCCCCCCCCCAAAAAAAAAAAAAAAAAAAAAAAAAAAAATTATTAAGCCACTATAATCTTGAAACATGTTACAAGGTTTCTCATTGTGAGGTTTCAATGAGATAATATGAGTGAAAGGCTCATTACATGGCATGGCAGGCATCAATTGTTGGATCTGAATCTAGATCTTATGAATTCGAATCTAAAATTTACATAATCAGACTGAATGCACACTGTTCTTTAAAGTATTTCAGAAAAGTTCTTGGCCACCTGCTTTTGCTGTCTTCCCAAACTGGCATTTTCTACTGCTGCCCCACCCAATGAACAACTGTCACCTTACTAACACCTTGTAAGGTTCTAAAATCTGCACATAAGTTAAATGCAGATATGATAACTGTACTGATTACTATATGAAATACAGAAGTGTAATTTAATAATAATTGATGCCATGGTAGAATAAAATAATTCAGCTGTAAAAAATACACACAATTAATTTTCATTATTTTTCATTATTTAATCAATTTCATTATAGTTATGGTCTATAAACTCACAGCAAACACTGAATTAGTGAATACTGAACCATTGCTCTTGGGGGAATATATATATATATGTGTGTGTGTATGCAAGGGGTCTTCAAAAAGGTCATGAAAGAGTCATATTATCTTGTAATTCTATTTTTCCACAAACTTTTTGAAGTACCTTCCTATATCTCAATCTCACATAGATTATACTCTTAATTCCTAAAAACAACTCATCCTGGTAGATTCTATTTCCATTATTTTACAAAAGAGAAAATGAAGTGACTTGCACAAGGCCACCCCACAGTTGAAATTCAAACCCCAGCCAGAGCTTCTTGCGCTGTACTGTACTGCCTTTTCTACTGTCTCTATCCTCTAGCCATCTCTGCATGAGAGCTAGAACAAGAAAGCAGGCTGGGAACATACACATGGGACAACTCAAACTTTTCCTGCTCTGTGCATGTCCACGAATGACTGCCAAAGCTCCACGAGTATTGATTTGGGGGTTACAAGTAAACTTAAGTGAGCAAGCAAATTTGTAAATATGAAATTTGAGAATAATGACTGTCTGCTATATCTATTTATAATTCAGCTCATTTACTATTTAGATAATGACTATCAAAAGGAGCTGACAAAAGTGATTTGACTTAAATGGGAGTGGAGAAAGCATCCTGTGTATCTTACCTTGTCTTTGAGCTTGGAAAGGTTTCCCACCTCTGTTACGGTGCTTTACTCCTCTATCAGCCACAAAGCCAGAGGATAAAGTCACATTGGTGGGTTGGTTTCTCATTTTCTTAGCATGTTTTCTTTCTTTTGCATTAGACATTTCTGGAAAGGAAGTAATAAATTTAATACAGGGAGAGAGACCATCCATTCAAAAATAAAAATAAATTTAATAAATAAATATTCATAAGACTCAAAATAATTCTTCAACATACTAAATCTTCATTTATTGTAGGTGGATTGATGATATCAAAATGTTATCATGATATTGACCTATGGCAGGGGTTCATAACTGGGGAGATATCTAGGAGGACTATCAAATGGTATTAACACCAAAAACCCAATTCAACAGAAAAAAAATAAGTCTATTGATGGAAGAGACCCTAGTAGTATATTCCAGTTTGCATTGACAAATAATTACATCATATATAAATGTTGACACTGCATAAAGTCTGCTGGAAGAATGAAAAGTTAGGTGAGATAAAATCACTATGTGGGGTAAAAAAAGTAAATTAGTTAAAGCATTTTATCGTAGGTGAAATAAGAGCCACCTGAATCAATGAGATATCGAACACCCTATTCCAAATGGATAACCTCTATAAAAACTGAACATAAATTACTGATGTTTTCATTTCATTTCTGAAATGAGGCCAGCTATATCTTTAATTTATAACAGCAACAGATAAAGATTTCAATTTGAAGAAAGAAGGATAAAGGACAAAAACCTAGCAGAGCCTGATTGATTTACTCAGTAGTTCCCAACTGTCAAACTCAACCACCCTTTTTTTATTAAATCAGTTTTTCATTTTGAAATAAAATTCATTAATAACATAACCAACTAGCTACATAACTTTTATCAACACATAACCTACCATATATGCCCAAATTGTAACACAAAAGAGAAAAAGGTTTTAATTTTAATAAATACAGAAATACTGTATGTAACTATTTCACCACAACTGTACTAGATGACATTATAAAGTAGAAAGAGATTTTGGACCCAGGGGATAACCACATCAATACAAGCACCAGCACAGGCACTGGCACAATCCATAAAGCTGGAGAAGGGTCCTGGAAGCCCTCCCTCACCATGCAACAGTCATTAACTCTTTCATTGCTGACTATAAGAAAGTCTGAAGGATCGTGGATGGAGATAATAGGAGGTAGGGAAGCTCAAAGCAGGAGACATTTACCAAGCTGTTCTCAAAGCATTTTAATACTAGTTTTTACTTCTACGTATACGTACAATTACCAGGAACACAACAGCTACAAAGGCAAAGCAATACAGGTGTGTCGTACTAGTGCCTCAAAGAGTAGGTAACAATAATACCACTGGTGGGATAATTTTCCAAGTGTGGGGAACACTCCTTGGTAAAGTACAAAAAAAAAGTACAAACTTGCTTCAGTTTGTTGCATTCCTGGGAAACTCAGTGTACAGTAAATTAAAACTGTGTAACCAAAACTTTTATGTAAAACAGAGGCAGGTGCTGGACTACTGTGGGACTTTCCTAACATCTCTAGCCCCTGCCCAATAAATGCCAACAGTGTTATCCCAACCGCTATGCCAACCAGAACACCTGCACAAACTGCCAAAATGCCATATCAGCCTTTGTACCACTCCTGCTGAGAACCACTGAATTAACTACCACCCATTCACTTGCTTCCTCTTCCAATGCAAGACCTCATCAAAATTAAGGGTTGCGTGTGTGGTGTAGTGTTAAGAGCCTTCTCTCTGGAGTTAGAAGGCCTGGATTCAAATACATTCCTTACCACTTTTTAGTTATATAATCTTAGGAGAATTACTTTCTCTCTATGAGCCTCAGGCTCCTCCTCTACAGATGGGAATGATCACAAAGTTGTGGTAAGAATGAAATAAACCTTATATACACATAAGGTTTTGGCTTTACGAAACACCACACGTACATAACTTGGGGGCTTAAGACAAACTAAATGCTAAGTTTATGGTAGCTACTATTCTTAATAAATGAAATAATGGATTTATATCATTTCACTGTCTTACTCCACTTTACTTTCACCTAAGTGAAAGACAACCATATCTACACCCAAAAACATTTTTCAAATTAAACAATGTGTAGCAGGTAGATGGAGTTCTGCAGAACTGGTTGGCTAGTGAAGCACTTGATTGAGATCAGTCTGCATTAAGAATCATTCAAAATATTTTATGAAACCATTTAGTCTACCTACTGTTACCTGCTTGAATCAGAACTTAGCCAGCAAGACAGAGCACTAACCTGGGATCCCAGGTTCTGCTCAGGATTAGAATGAGTCAAGAGCAGGCTGGCGTTAGATTAGGTAACCTTGGGATGCCACATCTCTGAGTTTTGGTTCCGGACTAAAAAATGAGCACACTGAACAAGCAGTGGTCCTCAAACAGTTCTAACAGCAGAAGAGGATGAATACAGAATACAACCTTGTGAAACCTGAGGATTTTGCTTAAAATAGCTTCCAGAAGGAATCTTATCTCTTAACATTAATTCAAGTCAATATTACATCTATTCCTAACATTGATAGTTTGTGTTTTTCATATTCATTCATTTTAGTTTATTTATTTTATCTTACTAAAGAAAAACTTTAATGAGCACTAAATATGTGCCAGGTTTTGTAAAAATGTTTTCCCAAAATCTTCAAGTAAAATGGACATGTTATGTCTTTTCATAAAGCTTAGTATCCAGACATAGCCCTTGGTGTAGTGGACTCATTTTAGAACCTGTAAATTAACCAGATGATCTCAGTTTCCTTCCAGATCTAAAAAGTTGATGATTCAGGGCCGAGCCCGTGGCGCACTCGGGAGAGTGCGGCGCTGGGAGCGCAGTAGTGCTCCCGCTGCGGTTCGGATCCTGTATAGGGATGACCGGTGCGCTCACAGCGCTCACTGGCTGAGCGCGGTACGGCCGGTCTCAAAAAGGACAAATAAATAAATAAAAAATAAAAAGTTGATGATTCAAACTTGATATAAAATGTGCCTTAAGAATAACGATATCTTTTTTCACGAGAAATATTTTACACAAGTTGAATTATTTGTAATGCTCCCATATCTCCTTATTTCAAGAATCATACGGTGAATTATTTTGTAAATAAAAAGCATCTCCTAATTCTCCAATTTAACCAAATATAACAAGCATTTGGGTACCTAAGTCTCAGGCTGTGTGTAATACCAAAGTAGTGTAAGGATGTGGTCTCTTTTCCTTAAAGAATTCAGTTGTCTTAAAAATTAATTGAGAACTGTATGTGTCAGGCACTATTCTACATGCCTTATTCACTTAATTCTCACAAGTCTGTGAGGGAGGTACTAGTATTATCCTCATTTTATAAATAAACTGAAGCACAGACCGGTTATATAATCAGCCCATGGCCACTAAGCTTGTGATTGTGCTGGGACTCAAACCAGGCTGTCTGGCTCGACTCACTAATCTTAAAACACAAAACAATTCGAGAATAAGACCACATATAATAAATACTAAGTTGTGTATTATTGCACAATAGGAAGCCGGATAAGGAAAAAATGTGAATCAGCAGGAAAAGTCAACGAGAAAACAGGATTTCAGTTAGCTGGAATTTGCATAGATAGGGAAGAAAGAGTATTCAGGAATTTACTGTGTGAATGCAGGAGTGATGACTCTGGAGGACTAGAGTGGGCAGAGAGAGTAGAGAGGATGAAACTGAATAGGCAAAGGGAGGCCGGACTGTAAGGACCTTTATTCCAAGCTGAAGCCTTTAATCCAGTGAAAAAGATCTTTAGGTTCTTGAGCCAGAACAGGAAAGCCAGAACCTTAGCAGTATGTAGGCCAAGATGACAGGGAAGAAAGGGGATTTTCCTAAATTACGTTTTGAAAGCAGGGAAGAACAGGGATCTTATGTGCCTTTTTTAACTTTTGCATCGCCAGCATCTAACAGAGTGCCCTGTACAAAGTAAGGGCTCAATATACATTTGTTGAATGTGTGCATGTACGCATGAATGAAGAACTGAAGCGTGCCTATAATATATACGAGTATTAACAACATAAAAAAAATACTTAGCCAAGTACCATCTCTTCTGATACAACGTGACTTGTCCCGAGACCAGCTCTGGGACCACTAGCTAGACCAAGATCACTATCCTTCTTTTTGCAATTAGATCCCAGTCCCTACAGCTCTGATCAGATCGAAGGAGACCTTGTAAAGCCCGAGGGACGTGGGGGAAGCGGGAAGGTGGACAACGCCCAGATCCTAGCGTGGTCCCCTGAATGACCCGTCTTATTTCTTTAGGGTGGCAGAAGAGAGGGTGCAAGCCCATTCCCAGGACGGCCTCCGCCCGGGGCGCAATGCAGGGGAAATGACAGACGTAAGGGGCTCGAGCGCAGGAGCCGAAGGAAGTGAGGCACCGGGTAGTGGGGCCCCCGGCGCAGGCAGCAAGGAAAGGAGATCAACAGGGGCTGAAGAAGAGAAGATGCGGAGGGGAGTCGGCCAGGGAGTGGGCGTCGGGTAGGGGGCGGCCATACACCCTCCCCCCAAACTCGTGGACCCCGGCAGGCACCAGCCACTCAAGACCTACCGGCCAGACGCTCTGAGGACTCCCCGGGTCAGAATGACAAGCCCCTGCGACAGTCCCCTCCGAGGCGACGCGCGCGGCCAGCAAGCTGCAGGACGCATGCGCCAGCGCGGCCGCTTCCTCCACGAGGCCTGGGGTCGCGCCGAGACTACAATTCCCAGAATGCCGAGCGAAGCCGACCCCCGCGGCGCCTTAGGGCAGCGGCGCTGCTGAGGTTGGTCAGTTGCGTGAGAAGCGAGAGGGGCTGCAAGAGAGAAGGCTCTGCCATGTCGTCCTTGGTCAGAAGAGTGATAAGCACAGCGAAAGCCCCAGGGGCCATTGGTCCCTACAGGTAATGTGGCCTGTGCGAACCCTGACGGATCCCAGACTTGGGGGTAGGAGGTTCGGGGCTGGGGCCACCCCGGTCAGAGCCGAAGCTGGCCTCCGGGATCATCCAGACCAACCCCCTTGAACCCGCGAGTAAACTGAGCCCAGAAAGGGAGCAAGGAACGCACCCGGGACCCACAGCGAATTGAGAACCCCAGTGGGATCGGGAGCCTGCGCTCGGGGGACATTGCCCCCGCCTGAGACGGTCTCGCTCCGGAGCCAAGTCAGCCAGAACGCTTTCTCTGGTTAGAAGTGGTCTGACCCTGATTTTTGTTTGGGGTGTTTTGGGTTTTTTGGTAACAGCTTTATTGAAATATAATTCACGTACCACAGCATTCACCCCTTTAACATGTACAGTTCAGCGCTTTTTCCATACTTACAAAGTTGTGCAGCCGTCACCACTTTTTAATCTCAGAACATTTTCATCACCCCAAGGAGTTTACAGCCCAAAATACTCTGAGAGAAAGGGTAATAACAGGACTAGCCACAATACGAGGCAGGATCCGTACACGGTGTAAGAAAGGCTCAACCAGAGGACCCTTGGGATCCAGGGGAAAGAAAGGCTTAGTTACCTGCTCAGGGAAAGTATGGGTGCATGTGTGTGTAATAGCTTTTAGTGTAGTTTTATTTATAGTAACAATATTGGAAGCAATGGTGACTGGTTAAATAAAGTATATCCATATAGTGAAATACATAATTGTTAAAAAAAAAATAAGGAAGCATTCTACATATAGTTATGGAAAGACTTTCATGACACCCTGTTGAGGGAAAAAAGCAAAGTGTATAAGAGTGTTTAAAATACCATATTTTGTGTAAAAAGGGAGAATATATATTAGTTTTTGTTCGTGTATGTATGAGGAAACTTTGGAAGAATACATAAAGAGGAACAATGATTCTGGGCTGGGAACGGAGCAAGTGGGGGACAAAGCTGGAAGGGAAACTTTACACTGATTCTTCTTATATTTTCTGGATTTTTGAACCATGTGAATGTTCTTGTATTCAAAAAAATTAAATTGTAAGCCTGGTAACAAGATTCAGAAAGTCTAAGAATACTTCTGTGAAAGTACCTGGCTTTCACCCTGGCCCACAAATAGATAACTATTGAGTTTGTCAATCTGTAATCTGTTCTCAGGTTGAATAGTACCCTGGCTAACACCGTTTCTACTCACTCTCCTGTCCTTGACCTATTTAGAGATACTCTATGTACTTTGTACAAGAAAGAAAGCAGGATTGTAATATTCCTGGTTGACTCGGAGGTGGGGTTAAACTGTCTTTATGAAGTTACAGGCAAAAATAAGAGAATCATCATGTGAATGTGCCAGTAGGGCAAGAAAAAAGCTGTCAACCAGCTTCACGGTGTGCAGACTTTCCAGGACATTGTGTCTCTTGTGCATTGTATATCCAAAGGATACAAAACACTAGGTTACTAGAGATGGTGCTTATTTTCAGTATTTTATGTTGAAGATAAAAATCACACTCCAACAAACATTATATCCTGATAAAGTTAACTGGACATGTTTTAAGAACAATTTGGAAACAAGAGTTTTTGTACATGACGTTTGTAGTGAGTTTCCTTTTTGAAAATTCTTGGCCCTCTCTGGGGAGAATTCAAATGTGTTGAACTTTCAGTCCCAGGCATTGGGATGAATGGGGTGTTGTCACTAATTAGCTAGTCAGCTCAGCACACTTCAGGAGTACTTCAGGACTGAACCTTGAGGGATTTCAACACCACATTGCTTTGCATTGCTTACCATTTTGCTAGCACACCATCCAAATAGTCATAAATTTTTGAAGTGATTGCCCATACGGCACAGATTATGATTTGAGAATTATTATTCAAATGCTTTTGAAAGTGTGATTATCTTTTGACCTGGAAGTAGAACAATATACTTTTAAATTTTCTGAAACCTAACAACTTGTCTATTAGGATTCTACACGTGCTCAGAAAGTGTCAACTATCCAATTTTTTGTGAACAAACCTCTTTAAATCTATGAGATAACTCCCATAGCTCAGATAGTCTCAGAGTTTCAGCACTTACTTTTAGTATTGTGAAAATAAATGAGTTTCTTTTTACTATCACAAAATTTTCTATAAATGATAATGCATATGGGCTTAAACTATGTTTCACATATGGGGAGAGTTGAAAGTACTTTGCAAAGGGCCTTAGGGCAGACAGCTTAATTGTACACAGGACAGTTAATAGAAACAGTGTTAGCCATGGTACTATTTAACCTAAAAACAGATTACAGATTAACAAACTCAAGAGTTATCTGTTTGTGGGCCAGGGTGAAAGCTAGGTACTTGAGAAGAATTCCTAAACTCTCTGAATCTTGTTACCAAGTTTACCAGTATACCTTCTTCAGCTCTCCAAAGCCCACACTATAAGCCAACAGGTCCTGCCAAAAAGATATTTATTGACAGTCAAAATCGTTTACGCTGCTAAGTGGTTAGTGAGCAAAACAGCCAACAGAAGTTACATTGTGCCTACTATTCATGGATGCACAACTCTATACATTTATCAAAACTCATGGAATCCTACACTTAAAATAGGTGATTTTAATAAGTAACTTACATCTCAATAAAGCTGTAAAACAACAACAAAAATGCAATGCCAAGAGCACTCTAAAAAAATAAGTAATCATTCTCAGACAAGATTAGTCACAGCTTGTTGAAGGGTCAATTAAGGGTGCACTTTTGAGGTTACACTTCAAAGTGCAAGGAATCACTTGTGCCCTGCACAGCTTCAGAGACACAGTAAGGCACTACGCCTGCCCCTAAGGAGTTTACAGTCTAAGATACTCTGAGAGATAGGATAATAACAGGACTAGCCACAGTATGAGGCAAGATCCTGTACATGGCATAAGAAAGGCTCAACCAGAGGACCCCTAGGATCCAGGGGAAAGAAAGGCTTAGTTACCTGCTCAGGGAAAGTATGGGTGCATGTGTGTGTAATGGCTTTTAGTGTAGTTTTATTTATAACAACAATATTGGAAGCAATGGTGACCTTTCAACAAGCAGTGACTAAGCTTGCCTGAGAATGATTACTTATTTTTTTAGAGTGATCTTGGCATTGCATTTTTTTGTTTGTTCATTTAACAGCTTTATTGAGGTGTAAGTGGTTATTTATAAAAATCATCTATTTTAAGTGTAGAGTTCCATGAGTTTGGTAAATGTATAGAGTTATGCATCTAGGACTACAATCAAATTTTATAATGTTTTCATCACCCCCCCAAAATTCCCTCCTACTTATTTGTGGTCAGTCCCCACCCCTAGCCCTAGACAACAACTAATCTACTTTCTGCTGCTATTATTTTGTCTTTTCTAGAATTTCAAATAAATAAAATCAAACAATATGTAGTCTTTTGCTGGATCTATCAGTGAGGTTTTTTGTTTTTGTTTTTGCTTTTTTGCTATCATGAATAATGCTGTTCTGAACATTCACGTAAACTCTTTGAATATACGTTTTCATTTCTCTTAGCTAGTTGCCTAGGAAAGAAATTGCTGGGTTGTATGTTAAGTGTATGTTTAAATTTTTTTTTTTTGTCTTTTGTCTTTTTCCGTGTCCGGCAACAGATCGCAACCCTCAGTGTTGCCCCCGTACCGGACCGGGGACCGGCAACGGGATCGCAACCCTCGGTGTCGCTCCCACGCCTTGCTCAGCCAGTGAGCGGGAACCGGTCTGTATGTGGGATCCGAACCCCCGGGCGGGAGCGCCACCGCGCTTCCCAAGCAGTGCACTATCCAGTGCGCCACCGGGCCAGCCCTGTTTAAATTTTTAAGAAACTGCCAAACTGTTTTCTGAAGTGGCTGTACTATTTTGCATTTCTGCCAACAATGATGAGGGTTCCACTCGCCCCACATCCTCACCAGTGCTTGTTATTAGTGCTGTCTTATTGTGTGTAGTGGTATCTTACTGTGGTTTTGCTTTGCATTTCTCTAATGAGTAATAATGTTGAGCATCTTTCTTGTGCTTCTTAACTCTTTGTATATTTTCTTTTCTGAAGTATTTGTTCAAATCATTTTCCTGTTTTTTATTGGGTTGTTTGTCTTCATATTATTGAGTTCTAAAAGTTCTTCATATATTCTGGATACAAGTCATTTATTAGATATGTGTTTTGCAAATATTTTTCTCCTAATCCGCTTCTTGCCTTTTTCTTTTCTTAAAGATATCTTCGATAAACAAAAAAAAAAAATAAAAGTTTTTAATTTTATTTCATTTTTTATTTTTATTTTTCTGGGCGGCTGGCTGGCACAGGGATCCAAACCCTTAACCTTGGTGTTACAACACCACACTCTAGCCAACTGAGCTAAAAAGCCAGCCTAAGTTTTTAATTTTAATGAAGTCAAATTTATCCAATTTTTATTATTTTACAGTTTTTACTTTTTGTGTCTATCAAGAACTCTTAGCATTGAACTTTATGTTTTATATTTATATTTTACATATACACTGGTTTTCTGTTCATTGCAGTCAAGCTGTGTTAGTCGGTGGGACCGTTTACATTTCAGGACAGCTAGGCATGGACCCTTCTAGTGGACAGCTTGTGCCAGGAGGGGTAGTGGAAGAAACTAAACAAGTAAGTCATTTTCCACATTCGAAATTTCCTTTTCTACTTCTTTTTAGTATTGAAGAGTATTAAGAATCCATTTGCCTGATTTGTTTTATAGAGATTAACAGATAAATGCCTTTTAAGCTACTTACTGCTTGATTTAAGACAGTATTTGATTTAGGAGAGTTGGAAATTTGATGAACAGTTTAACAATCAAAAAAGAGATTCAACTTCCTTGTCACTAAGGTGACTTTAAACCTGAATTTATTGAAATGAGATAACATTTTGCCATTTCCACATGGATTGGGAAATTTTCATGGTCACTGATCAGCATACCTCCCCCATCCAGAAAAAAGCCACCTCCACAGAAGTAAAAAGTCAACATTTGTTAGTAACAGAGAAGTATCAGAGATTATACACAGTATGTTTTTAAAAATAAGAATGGGGAAATACAATTCTAATCCTAAATAGAATTAAACGGTAATTTAATGCATTCATGAGTCATTTAGAATACTCAAAGATAGAAAACAACTTCAGTGTCCATAAGGAACTAGTTGAATAAATAATGCTAGATTCATACGACTAAATATATGTGGAAAGATCTTCAAGATAAATTGTTACATGATAAAATAAAACCAAGATGCAGACAGCATTCACGATATGCTGTGTGTGTGTGTTTGTATGTTTAAGGATATGTACATTTATGCCAGTGTAAGCGTTGACTATCTCTAGAAGGATATACAAGAAACTAGAAACTTCCCTCTGAAGAGGGAAACTGGGGAGAGGGAGAATAAAGGTGGGAGACATCTTTTCACTGTAAATGCTTTTTTACAGTTTTCTAATTTTTTTTTTTTGCCATATCCAGTATTATCTATTTAGAAGATTATTTTTTAAAAACATGAAAATATAATCAAGTATTATACTGTGACCAGTAAAGTGAAGAGGAAGAATGAATTGAAAGAAATAAGTTAAGGAGAAGGTAAAAAACTAATGTTTTTCCAGAGGCCCGAGTGTCAAACATATACAAGAATACCTCACAAAGTTCGTGGAAAAATAGAATTAAAAGATAATATGAATGTTTCTACTGACTTTTTGAAAACCCCTCATATATAACTTACTAATACTGTTTTTTGAAAAAAAGGAAAAAGAACCCTTTAAAATAAAATATTGCTTTACATGAAAATGTTTTAATGCTTACTAACTCATACTTTTCTTTGCAGTGATATGGAATGAGGAACTCCAGAAATGATTTCTGTCTCAGCTTAATGGACATTGACTAAAAACTTGACACATTTTAGCATTAGCAAGGGACTTCAGTCCCATTTTTTTGCTCACAAAACGATATAGCCTCTTTTCACTGTACTTCAGAAAGATTCATTCCATTAAAGGAATTCTTTTGTATAGAGATATCCTAAAAAGAGTAGGGAGAATTTTTCTGCAACAAAAGCTATTTAAGGAAGTACCAGTAAAAGATAATTAAATGCATTTACTTAAAGCTTTAATATAACATCAGTCCCTCAGGCCTTTCTTGGCTTGGTTCACAGGCTCTTACAAACATGGGGGAAATTCTGAAAGCTGCAGGCTGTGACTTCACTAATGGTGAGCAACTCGATATTACTTCACATTTCTGTTTGATATTTCTTTGGTCTTTTTGAAAAACACGGTATCTTGTAATATGTCCTGCCATATCTTCGTTGCTTTCTAAAGTTGTTTTTTCTGGGAAACAACACTGTTTTACTTTACTTCTTCAGTCCCGTTGTAATCAAGACAGTCACAGAATCATATATACTATTTTTTTTTAAGGAATGTTTTGGACCAGACTAAATAGCTAAACCTAATGACAATGTATATATCTTCTAGTGGTAAAAGCAACTGTTTTGCTGGCTGACATAAATGACTTTGGTGCTGTCAATGAAATCTACAAACAGTGTAAGTAAATTGTCTTTATTCCTATTTTCCATTTTAAAGAGAAATGATCTGTTAACATAAATGGGTGTACCTAATGCTTATATTATTTACCTTTCTTTTTTTTTTTTTTGTGACTGACTGGTACAGGGATTGAGCCCTGCACCCTGTTGCTTATATCTAAGAACTGACTAATCTATGAAGCACTTACCAGATTATGCAGTTTTGAATAACAATACAATGTCTGAAAACTAAAATGAAATTCTTTTAAATTCAGATTTCAAGAATAATTTTCCTGCTAGAGCTGCTTACCAGGTTGCTGCTTTGCCTAAAGTAAGTGCACTTTTAAAATGACTAATGTCGGGCCGGCCCGGTGGCGCACTGGAGAGTGCGCCGCTTGGGAGTGCAGCGGCGCTCCCGCCGAGGGTTCAGATCCCATGTGGAGACCGGTTCCTGCTCACTGGCTGAGCGCGGTGCAGGCGCAACACCGAGGGTTGCGATCCCGTTGCCAGTCCCCAGTACGGGGCACGACACCGAGGGTTGCGATCCCGTTACCGGTCAGTAAAAAAAGACAAAAAGGAAAAAAAAAACAAAAAATGACTAATGTATACAATTTTAAATTTCTACATTGTTTTCTGAATATAATAAACTAAATACTGTGAAAGAAAACTTAAAAAGAAAAGAAATAGTCCCTGCCTCCCAGGAACTTAAAGTCTAAAAGGAAACACCCCATATTACATACAAGAAAAAAAAATTAAGAAACCTCATAAGGCAACACATGAGCATAAACATAACAGAATCAGAGTACTTAAATTGTGAGAAAAAGCAAAACAACAGCTGTCTTGTAATGTTAGTTAGGGGACTATTAATTTGAGCCAGGTTTGTTTGTAAGATCTGCAGTAAAAATTAGACTTGGATATTGTGTAATAAAAAATCTAGACCTTCCACTAGAAAAATAATCTTCAAACCAGTGCACATATATCTCACCATTCTGATTTTGGTATTCTGATCTAACTAGAAGCTGTGCCTCTTAACAGCATGATATTCCTGCTTATCAAAAAGCAGCTCTTGTTGACTTCCACTTGTAATTTTCCACTAAAGAAAATTTATCTCCTAAGAGAGGCATTTTGTATTGCTTTAATTAGTTGTTACTTGGAATGATCATCTTCATCAGACTTACTAAGGTATTGGGTGTAGTAGAAAGAACTCGGAAGTTGGAATTACATGACAAAGGTTTGAACCTCTACTATCTAGCTTTGTGACTTGGGACAAGTTAATTAACCTTCCTCAGCTTTAGTGTATAATTCTGCGAATTGTGAGGAGAACATCTAATAGGGCTGCTGTGAGAATCATATGAGCTAATATGTATGAACATGCCTACCATGATAACCTGGCCTATTGTGGATTCTTAGTGAATATTTCCTTTGAAAAGTTCAATGTTAAAAATTCTGTATTGCTTAGAGGTGAGATAGAGGGTGGTGGGGAGGGATGAACTGGTAAAGGGCCATGAAAAACGATTACATTGTACAATGTGGAATATAATAATTATCCTGATTTGAGCCTCACATATCGCACACAGTATTGATATTCAACTCTGTACTCCACAGATATGTACAATCAACGATGTTATAATAAAAAAAATTAAATTTAAAAAAGATAAATGAAAAAAGAATTCTGCATTGCTGTTAGCTGCATATGTCTTTAAGTAGGTATTATGGAGCCCTCAGTATATATAAAATGATCAAAACATTGTTTCATGATTTTCCTCACAGGGAGGCCGTGTTGAGATTGAAGCAGTAGCTGTCCAAGGACCTCTCACAACAGCAGGACTATAAGTGGGCCCCGTGTTATTTAGTCTGAAATTTTCATTATGTTTTAAATTAACATCTTAATTTTAACAATTGATGAAAGTGTAAGTTTGACTGAAATATATGGAGTTATTATGGAAATACCACATAATAGGGAGAGTTGAACATGACTTGAAGATTAGGTAGTGAATCCAATTACTGGTGTTATAAATTACACATAGGTACACCCATATTACTGAACATAGAAGAGACACTCATTACATAGTTACTCAAATAAATAAAAGTAAAGGGAAATAACATGTAGGCAAGATGAGTTATTGTTCCTGAGATAATCAAGAGCACACCTAATACAATTAAATTCTATTAATTTAATGATGTGAAATATTTAGTTCTTATGTCAGATGTGATTATGACACATATTGAGTACAATTAAAGTATTTAAATTTGAATGGTAGAGGTAAAGAAGAAGAAAGTGGACCAACATTTTATATAGATAATATTTTTCTAATGGAAATAAAAGATGTGCAGACTTCCCTTGGTGTGATTGTGTTCACTTATTTTTTAACACTTTAATTTATACATTAAAACATATCACTTAATAAAAGGAAAGGGTAGGGAGGACCATAAAGTGAAATCTCCGACTATTTCAGTTCTCAAAGTTCACTTCTTTTTTTTTTTTTTTT